TTGGTTTTTTTTTTTTTTTTTTTTTTTTGTATGTTTCATTTTCTTTTCTATAACCTTTTTCTTTGTTTTTTTATTATCAGCTGCAAAAACATTTGTGTGTCGCCTGTTTTCCTTGCTTGTCTTTTTGTATCATTTATTTTCTTGTCTACAACCTTTTCCCTTGTTTGTTCTGCCAGATCAATCGATTCTCCATCTTTATCTTTTTCTTTCATTGGTCATGCAATGTGTCACAATATACCATGTCTTTTGAGATAATAAAGTCCCATTGAAGAAAGGAAGATAAAGCCATTTAACTCATTGACATTTCATAATTTAAATAGCCGTCGATACATAACCAATGTTTGTCTTAATACTTTGAGTTGGATAAATAATCTAGTGGAGTTCACAATGCAAAGACATTTAGGCATTTAGGTGACTAAATCTTGCTTTGGAATTTCAAAGAGATTGCATTTAATACGTGTTCAGCCTGAACAAATTGATGCACCAAAAATTTTCCATAATAGCATTTGCACATAAATTCCTTCCATATCTGGTCCTACAATCAGACAAAGTTCGTCCATATTGTTATCCTGTTATTTTGTTTTATTATCTCAAACTCTCTGCAAGTTTTGTGCAGCTCTCTTTTAGCAGTCTTCAAATTTTCTTTTGTACCATTTTTACATTTTCATTATTATTGCCATAGGTCACTGAGGACGGGAAGCAGGAGCGCAATTTGGTCGCGACTGTAGGCAAGTTCAGTGTCATCTGGAACTTCCAACAAGTGAAAAACGGGACACACAACTGCTACCGCCATCAGGAAGGCCTCAAGAGTTGCTATTGTTACAAGATTGTTCTTAAAGACGACTCCATTGTTGATAGTCGTTTCATGCACGAAAAATTTGCAGTGACCGATTTGCCCGAGGCTCCATTGGTGATTGCAACGCCCATGAAGGTCAGTTCCTTAAGCATATCCAGTAGGCTAAGAGATTGAGATTCAGTTCCAAGCATAGCATATACTCGGTACAGGTTCCATTGCATTGCCTGATGCACAGTTAATCAGCTACGTTTCTAAGTGGCATGTTTAGGACCTTATAGATGCCTTAGAGTAGTTTTAAACATCTGTCAATGAGTTCCCTAATTTGTATTGATTCCTATTTCGAGTTCCTTAATGACTTAGTTTTTTCATCAATTGTAATGTCAAGGAAGCCAAATATAATCCCAACGACATATAATCTTAAATGAAAAATTGGTTATTTTTATAACTTGGCCTTTCATGAAGCTGCTGATAAAAATCCAACTCTTTTTCTAATCAAACTCGCAGAAACTTGTAAGCCTTTACATTATACACGACAATGTCACGGAATAACCTCACCATCCAAAAATCAAAATGTAGAAACTTATTACATCTTGCAAAGCCCATGGTGCAACGTTTTTTTTTTTTTTTTAAATAGACGCACGAATACCCATTATATCATACAATAAAAGAAAAAAATTAACCACCATCATGTACAATCTCGTAATTCTTCAAACTCGGCGATTATAATCTCCGCGAGGAAAACCAATTTCAAAGGAGAGGTCAAAATATCAACAGTGTAAATAGAATAACTGTACCCTGAAACAATTTAGGATGGCTTGTTTGGCTGTGTCTTCTTTCTGGCCAGAAACATGAGAATTCGAGGAAAAAATGATTTCTTCTTTTTCTTTCCTGTTTTTGATTCTGAGAACGAATCCAATGAAGTAAGGCTTCTTTGCATATCTGCCTTGGGGCTCGAGGCATCAGTAACCATGGCGTCAGATGAGCCGACTAAATTCGATGGATCGTTCTTCCCCTCAAAACTGGCCCTTGGACTGCGAATGGGGTTCATTAATCCAGTGCCAGAGTCACCAGCCTTCCTTCGTTGTTCGTGCTCGGCTCTCCATTTTCGCAACTCCTGCTCAACGCCCAACTTCCCTTCCTTGGCCTTCTCAGCCTTCTCCATGGCAATTTTTAGTGCTTCCTTTCTGGTAGCCATTTCCTGGATTACTGCTTCCAGTTTATCCAAGCTTCTTGACTCGGATTCCTTGGCTAGCTCAATCTGTGACAGTGCATCTGCCACTCTAAGGTTGGCTTGTTCCTCTGCCTCGTGAGCACACTTGCTAAGCTCATAGTACTCCTCTAGTGACAGTGTAACTCCTGCGGGTGAGTTCGCGTTGTTGGTATCTCTGGCCGATTCGCTCTCTTCTAATGCCTTGATTGCGGCCAACGCCAATCTTTCTGAAGCCTTTGCAGCCTCAATCTCTTTCTGAGAAGCAAGCAATCTACTCTTCATGGTACTTGCTCCAGCCTTTGCTTGCTCTGCCTCCTCTTTTGTTTTGCACAGCTCTTCTTGAGCCTCCTGAGCCAGCGATTTGGCCTGATCGGCTTCTTGTGCTGCTTGCTGTAATTGTTTGGGCAACTCCACCATCGTTTCCCTGGCCTCTTTCTCCCTCATTTGAACTAAAGCTATTTCTGACCTGGTTCTTTCCACTTCAGCTTCAAGAGATGCAACTGCTATAGATGCCATTCCTTCTCTTTGCCTCAAGTTGACTAGATCAGATTTCTCCTTTTCAAGCTCTGTTTTCAATGATGTTGCGGCCACCTTTAAGCAGTTTATTTCAGTAGTTGATTTCTCAATGTTGAGTTTCACTTCGTTAAGTTCCTGCTTTGCTGAAGCAACTGCTGCTTGTATATCTGTACGTGTTTTCTTTTCGGGATCCTCTGCCTCGCTTTTTGTGTTACCATCATTATCAGGCTCCTCTTCCAGTTTTGATTCCATATAAGCTGCTAATTCAGCTTTTAAATCTATTAGCAAATTTGAGGCAGTATCCAGTTTTGATTTCAGATTCTTCGCTGATATAATTTTCTGATTGAGACTCTGAAGTTCTGCTTCAGCCTGCTTCAATTCTTTCTCCCAGTTAAGAGAATCTTGCTCTCTGGCCATGGCTGCACCTATTCTTTGCTCCTCTGCCTCCAAATGGGTAGCATGTGCAGACTCTAACGACTCCTTAGTGGCCATAAGCTCAATAGTTAGATCTTCCACTGCCTTCTCAACTTCCTTGGAGGCAGCCACAGCATCTTCAGCTTTAGCTAAAGCTGCATTCTTATCTGCGACCAAAGAAGCAAACTCGCTATAAAGTGTTACCAATTCCTCTCTGACAGCTTTAAGCTCTGAAACTGCATCTACGTGCCTGGCTTTAGCAACCTCAAGCTGCGCCTTGGCAGCTACACTAGACTCCTCAGCAATTCCTTGCTCCATCTCTTCAACCCTGAGTTTCGCAAGCTCAGAGTCTTGCCTTGCTTGATGTTCTTCTGTTTGTGCCCTCTCTAGATTAAGCTTTAATTCTTCTATCAATCGCTTAGTGCTATCTAGCTCCTTTAGAACTTGTTTTTTTCCCTCTTCAGCAGCCTCTGACTGTCTCCTGTACTCCGGAATCTCCTCGTTTAATTTCTCTAGTTCTTGCTCCACAACTTTGCGTCTCTGTAATATTTGAAAGATAGAACTATAAGCTAAATCAGAAAAATCATTTGAATTTGGTCCGAGACATGAAAAAGAACAAATGTGCACCATGGGGATTGAGTGAATTTGGTTATTAGTTAGAAATAAACCCAATCAAGCACAATCAAGTTGAATACGTTTCACAGAAGAAAGTGTCCCTCTATTTAAAATATTTTTGAAGAATTAAAGAATAATTTAGAGTATAATTGTGAAATGGTGAGACACAACCTGTCACAAGCATCATGAAAGAGACACACTTCACACTTTCAACTCACTGTCCCCAAATTACCTTTCATTGTGAGTACTCACAACTAAAATCCTAAATTACATGGTATACTTTCATTGATTCTTAACACCATGTTGCATTTTCGAAATATGCTGTTATAACAGCACTGAGTAGCTGGCATTAGATACTATATGCAATAACTAATGAGAAACACTTGTCTTTTTCTCCTACACGTTCAATACCATGACAAAGAAATTTATACGCTTTTCACGACACTCTAGCAAAAGACTCATAGTTACGGTATCCTTTCAGTCAATATTAAGAATGGCTAACCCACTCCAATGCATGTAAATGGTGCCGCAATATTTAAACAGACAAAGGATCACAATAGTCTTGTAGTAAGTTATACCTCAACTGTTTGGATTCGATGAGCTTTCCAATCAACAATCCCACCAAACTTCGAAACGGCTTCTTTAACAGATTCAAATGGTGCAGTTGTATCAATAAGGCCTCTGTTAATATCACTTTGCTTAACATCTTTTGAAGAATCAACAGATTCGGTTTTTCCACCTGAAACTCTCACGTCCTCTGCAAGCCCATCTGCACGTTCAACATCCTCATTTTTTATAACCACTGTCTCAGAAGGCATAATGACATCATTGACAGTAGCAGAGTCACTACAGACTGAAGATTGTTCCGGAGGAAGTTCCTCAGGCATAATGACCTCATTGGCATCATTGACAGTAGCAGAGTCACCATGGACCGAAGATTGTTCCTGAGGAAGTTTCTCAGGCATAATGACCACATTGGCATCATTGACAGTAGCAGAGTCACCATGGACCGAAGATTTTTCCTGAGGAGGTTTCTCAGGCATAATGACCACATTGGCCTCATTGACAGTAGCATAGTCGCCATGGACCGAAGATAGTTCCTGAGGAGGTTTCTCAGGCATAATGACCACATTGGCATCATTGACAGTAGCAGAGTCACTATAGATTGAAGATTGTTCCCGAGGAAGTTTCTCTGGCATAATGACCTCATTGACATCATTAACTGTAGCAGAGTCACTATGGACTGAATGTTGTTCCTGAGGAAGTTTCTCAGGCATATCTTCTACTGATTGAGTTCTGGGGTCTTCCATCAAGGTATTTGAATTGTGTTCCTCAAATCTATCATCTGGAACTGTAGTACTCATACCTGAATTACTTAATGTAATAAGTTCATCTTTATTCATATTCGCATCACTAGGAGCATCTTCTATGGTTGATGATAAAGAATTTTCAGCTATTGGCTGTTGACTTTTAGATCGCAGTGTTGCATCAACTGGGCTTGAAGAGCATTCAACATCACCTTCCAATTTTTCATTATCAACAGCATTTGAGAGAACTTGGCTCTGGTTCGTAATTCCATTGTTAACTAGGTGGTTTGGATCCTCTTCATGAACATGACTACCATCTTGGGAGATTAACGAGGATTGTGAAGAAGATATATGATCAGCTAATTTCACATTGTCCATCAAACAGCGTTAAGAAAAATGCCAGAGGATACCTGTAGGTGAACTGAAACCATACAAACACAAAGCACCCAAAACCGTAAGCTTTCAAATCCTGTATTTTAAAATTAACAAAACAGCAACTTTAGGAAACTACAGTCATAAGAAAAATGTATTCATGCCAACAATAAATCAGTGGACAAGGAGTAGCAGATTCACACACCATTAACATCAACGATGCATCCAAATCAAAGGTCAAAAACTGAAGTGATAAACATTCTCAGATTTTTTTTGTCCAGATTCAAAACTACACCATTGTTTTAACATTTTATTTTGCACCATTTTTCAGACTACTCACCGAGGTAGTTTAAACTAGAATAATTAATTCCTTGTGTTTGAACTATTAATCAATGGGGAATGCAGAAGTTCAACTTTCCTCAAATGCTTCTGAATAAACTGGCATTAAGATAAAATGTCAAAAAGAAAAAACAGAAGAAATTAAAATTGAATTTTGCAATAAACATTCAGTTGCAGGTGAACATTCCAGTAAAAGAGAAAACACTTGATATCAGGTAGACATTGAAAAAAGAAAAAGGCTTTTTCGTTTGCAAATGTGAACAAATATAGCTACTACCAGCGGTTGGGTTATATCATAAAAAAAACGGGTTGCACATTTGATCAATATTCAATATAAAGTTAAAGCAAAGCCTTATATGACAACAAAAAATAGATTCACAAAGCAGTTCTATCAGAATTCATTACCAATTGTCATCTTTTTGTTCACTAATTATTTTGGATCAATGTCACAAATATACTCCATATATATCATTTAATCAAAATCAATGATCCTAGTATCTCCTATTCTAGCAAAAAGATCCATCTGAGCAGTAGTTAATCAGTCGCCATTATAAATATGGTATATTCACTAGTGCCTATATATACTGCTATGCAAGAGGCACACGATTGGCATACACTAAAAGATTAAAGGTAATTCTTCAAAATTTTCTCCATTTTGAGCTTAATTGA